TTAAGAACATGTTTGCAGTTGGCCCTGGGCAGACTGTCATTTCCATAGCACAAGGGTCCCATCTTCCAAGGCCTAGCGTAAGCCTGCTTCCCTCTGAGAGGAAGGAGCAGGAGACTGACTCTCTTGCTTTTACTATGGTACTAAGCCCTTCAGGCACACAGACTTCTTACACGGCCAAGAGTTAAACAACTTCACTGTGCCCACAAAAACAGTCCTTAGGGCTGAGCCTTCCAGCAGACCCCAGTAATCATCATAAGGGAGAGCTCTTGTCCATCACTCTGTCCCATCTCTCGCTGAATCCCAGGATCCTTGCTCATTCTGTCTCTCACCTCTGCACAGGCTGTCTTGTTGGAATACAGCTCCTATCTAGATGCCACTTCCTTATCCTCACAACCAGCTGGAGCACGACCTCCTCCTCTCAATGCCATGAGGCACAGAGAATAGCACATTCCATCAGCACTTTCTATTGAGGCTGACCTTTAGCTTGCTCCTTGAAGGCAATGTATGTGTGTAATTCATTGACTGCAGGACCTCCACCAAAGGCACTGCTAATAACTATGGGCCTGGAATTAGAGCATAGCAGTAGAGCACTTGCCTAGCATGGGTCAAATGGGCCAAGCTCTAGGATCAACTCTCAGCAATGAGGGGTGGAGGCATGCTGTCAGGTAAGGAAATTTTGATCTTGTCCCTGTTCTGTCTAGTTTGTGGCATTACTCTGACAACTAACTCTTGGACTGTATCTTAAGGAAGTTTTGAGGTCAGGGAATATGCTTTCACAGAGTTAGAACTTGGCTTCAGAATCATTTTTATCTTTGCACTCTCAGTTGCCATTCATGCATCCAGGGTTGGTTCTGTGAGATCAATGGAATGTTTATTAAAACTGAGGACTGTGGTGCCAGCTCCCACATATGGCTCACTCCTCCCCTCAGAGAATCTCAGTGTACCCTCCTGTGAACCATACCAACCTACCTCTGTGAACTTGTCAGCCACCATGTAGCGGACACGCCAGGACTTATCTTCAGCAGCCTGGCGCAAGGTGGGCATCACTAAGGCCTCCAGGTCCTCCTGAGGTAGAAGCTGGGCAATGTTCACACATGCCTCCACTGCCAGCAGCCGCACCGAGTCCTAGGGAGAATGGGGTGGCTTAGGGTAGCAAAGGCCTACTGAGCTGAGGGTCCCTTGCCTCAGCAAGTAAGGGCATGGTGAGAGCTGGGGACTGACTCACCTGCTCGTCAGAGGCCAGGTTAGAGAACATGGGAATGATCTCACTCTTGACATTGTCCAGTTCCAGGACCTTGGCAAAATCCCCCAGCTTGGAGGCTGCGGCCCGCCGCACCATGGGGGTGTCGTCTGAGCACAGGTTCCGGAAGTACCTGGGATGGGTCGAGGCCTGGGCTTAAGATCTTGGGAAGCAATAGCAGCTGGCACCCCAGCATTAACACAGAGCACTGCTGGCTAGGCTGTAGACATTGCTGCTAACAATGGTGACTTTGTACAACTCATGAACTCTGTCTTCCCAGTCCTACCAACAGGACCAAAGGCAATGGCACATCCCCACATAGCTAACTTGAGGTATCAGTGAAAGACTACAACACAGTACTCTTTATGTGGCCATCGCCATAAAACTCTTTAAAATGCCACTGACAGGTCTTCCTTGTCAAAAGCCTCAGTCAGAGACACA